ATACTGCTTTAGAAAACACATTGCCCATACCCATTTGAGTTCAGCCATGCATATTACCCATTAGCCCTTGCAGCCTGTATTTCAGACTGAGCCTCAGAGTTTTTGATCAGCCCCCTGTCAAATGCCACACTGAATGCCAGGACTGCCCAGCTGCCCCTCCTCTTACCTCACTGCTCAATAGTCTCCTTGTTCAGAGCTAGTGGTGAAGCCTAGAAGTGAGGCTTCATGTAAGCGGCATTTAAACTTGTTCTTTTGTGCATAAAAACATGGATGAATGGATATGGAGGGAGATTAATAAAAGGTATCAGGCAAGTCAGTGGATGAGATGTCACTGTTGGATAGGTCCTTGTGAATAATCAGTGTGCATACAAATCCTGCAGCGCACCCACAGCAGATGGGACAAGAAACATGAGAGGGGGAGTGTGTAAGTGGAAAAATCATTATCTAAGCACTGAGGGCTGTTTCAGGTCAGATTATTACTGGAAGTGAAAACAGAAAAGGCAACATGAATAAAGAAGGAACGTGTGCAGATGTGCAGAAAAAGGAGTGATGTGTTTTTTTGTTTTTTTTACTTTAGCGAGGTTGGTTTTCTGGTCAACTGGGCTGCCACTTAGGAGGTTTATGAGTCAGTGCTATCTCTGGAACAACTATGAGTGAGGGGACGAGAAGTAAAAGAGAAAGAAGGGGAAGGGAAGAATCACATTGGAGTTGTATGATACCTCTGTTGCTTTTCACATTGTGGAACAGCTTGGGATGTGAATGGGGTGATGACAGGAGGGGGAACAGGGGGAGAGAGGACAAGACAACCATGGAAAGAGGGAAACTGTCTGTGATGCTGATGCCAGATATCTCTATGCCTTTGGGAATCAGCAGCGAACATTATGCTGCTGCTATTCTTGTGTATCTGCATCCTTTGTACAAGCTGCTGGATCCTATTATTATATCCTATGTACATGTGTGTGTGGTCCTGATCAACAGGCTTACATCTCACCCAGAAACAATGAGTCTGTCTAATTATATTTTCCTGCAGAAATGCTCTGGAACAATTTCAAGTGTGCATGCGCAAGTAAGCACATACACACATAGAATCTTAATGTTAGATTGCATATACCACCCTGTAACACCAGGGAAAGACAAAATATTCCTGTTTTAGCAGTTCTCCTTTTTAATTGTATACCACCTCTGACATGATGCCCAGCACAGAAAAAGGCTTCAGGCTTTGGAACTGTAGCCTCAGGCTGGAGGAGCATATAATGACACAGCACCCTCAAGGACAATGGAAGGCCAGAAAACATGGCTTACATCCAAGTTACCCACACAAAAACACACAAGAGGAGATACAATCAATACAAGATGGAGCTCGGAGCTAAAAATATGTGCATGAGCCGCAAGGTGAAACATGAGCATTGGAAATTAGGAAAGGGACAACAACAGAGGTAGTATTTAGTGATGTGACAGCACAGTCTCACATTACTAATGAGCCAGGGCTCAGTTTACATCTTGACATGTAGCACACGAAAGTACCACTGAAATAGGAAACGCACATTTCCTCATGTGAGATGGACTCGAATACTGTATTGATGGTTTTATTGTGAACAGGCTGTCAGTGAATCTCAAGTTGAAACACTTTGAAGTGTATGTTATATTTTTGTCGTAAAAATGCAGAGAGGAAAAAAAAAATCCAGGATCCAGAATAGTAGTTAGAAATATGTATTAAAATTAAAATGTAATGTGAGTAGTAAATCTGCCTCTGCTTTTCCCAGATTTAATTAAAAAAATCTTCTTCGTTTATATGGAACCATCTCTTGTACTGTATCACTGTTGAAGAAATGTTTTATATTAGAACAAGTAGAATGAATTTTGATCTTTGGATATTTTCAATACTTGATGAACTATAAGTTTTTGTTCTACAGATATATTAGATTGCTTATATTAGCTTTCTGACATTGTCGAGTATAACTGTTTTGCACCTTTCATTTCCACTTATCATAAATTTTACATGCATGACTCAAGACACACTTTTAAGTGACTCCAATTACCATCTTTAAAATCTGCTCTAATGGTATTCATAGACATGCGTACTGTGTACTATTGGACATATCACTAAGTTCAATTTGTCAGATGAGGAAAAAGAGAATCATTACCAAGAATTTATGATCTTTACTTCTGAAGGAGATGAAATGCATAATATAACGTGTTCTTTTAAGATTTAATTGACAGCTACTCTGACACAGTTCTTTAGTTCTGCAAGTCTCAACTCAAGTTTTCTCAGACATCCGGTCTTCCGTCAGCAATTCTGCCCACCTCCTTGTTTCAGCTTTTATTTCTTTGTTCCCCCCAGAGTATTGCCTTCAGCCCCCACAGCTCATCCAGGATGCTGCAGCCAGTGTTACCATCAAGTGTGCAGGATGGAGTGAGTCCTCCTTCACTTCATCCCCTACCTGCTTGTCAGAGACTCATCCAAGATTCTGAGCGCAGATGCACAGAGCTGCTAAGGGAGTTTCAACCCCTCTGCTCACCAGGCCAGCCTCACATAAGTGTCCCCTGCTCTAATGCACTTACTTCATCATCCCTTGGAGTGGTCTAAGCTACAGTATAATACCACATGCTGGAGTTTCCCTGCTGGATTTTGATAATGTTCCCACCTACTGTGGGCACTAATACAAAAAACTGTAAGTGCAATATAATATAAAGATTATTTACAAATTTATTTGTATAAATTGTTACCTTCTGAGTGGCATTTCCTTTTGGGACTCATGGTCTATATGAATATAAAAAAAAAACCTTTTGAGTCAGAAAGCGTCAGTGTCTAATGAAAGGTGAAAGGAAGACAGTGCCAGTAACACTAGATACCTTGGTTACCATGACACATCTCATGTTACATTGTCAAGGGTTGTGTCAAATTTATTTTAAAATAATTTTTCATGGGGCTCAGGCTACATATGAAGTGGCTGAATGGTTGAGATGGATGTCACAGTCTGGGCTCTGAAAAGAAATGCTTCATTATTTCAGCAACAACCTCAAGGAGAAATAATTACCGCAGAAAGAAAAATAAAGCCACTGTGTTTCTCTGTCAAATCTCTTCATTCTTTCATGTCTTCATGTTTCTCATGAGAAGAACAAATCTGCATGGGATATATTTCATGCTGATAATTTCAGGAGTGCAGAAAGCTACGGGTTAATGCAGCCTCTGAGGAACAGCATCCTCCCAGTGTCCTTTTGGTAAAAGAACCATGAAATGCCAACCTACAGACCTTTCCATCAGCTGCTGTGGGTCCATTTAATTGCTTTCTTTATACAGAGACACACAGTTGCACATGCCAAATGGTGGAACTGTGAGCTAATGAAAGTGATGTTTGATGATGTTTCATACCAACACCACAGAGTTCTAGGAGGTCAAATTATCTGCCCTGGGGTGCAGCATTATGGGTTGGCAAAGTCATTCATCCTGGAGATGATTTCATTTATCGCCTTGGCCTGGCCAGATCACTTATTACATCACAGTCCACCTCATCTCAGAGGAAACACTAACGACCTGATTAAATAAGGATAAGAAATCCTGCACTGTGCTGCTGCGGGCTCCCTAATCTGTTTCATTACTCCATGTGTACGTGTGCACCTGCATGAGAGTTTGCATGTGGCACAAGATTTACAACATGGCTCCCTTAAGGCTTTACAGTCATTATTACACTTTTTTAAAATCATCCTTTCACTAGGAAATATATTTTTATTTACTTTGTTCCCACACTGAATAGCACCAATGTCAACAGTCTTTTCACTGATGATCCCCTTTTGTGACACAATGTGCACTGTGACATCGCTAGAGAAACAATTTGTGTGGAAAATAGTAAAAAGAAATGGTTATTTGCTATTCAGTGCTATTTCCTGTCACATTGCATATCAAGTTAGTGTGACAGCACCACTGTATATGGTTGTGGACAGCATCGTCATGGGTACAGAGGCAGAAAAGGGACGTGGTCCAACATGGCCTCCAGAAAATGTCAACATTCTGTATGAGCAATACTTTGGACACTTGATGCATCAGACAGCAGACTGTAATTGCTGAGTTGTTTTTTTTTTAGTTAAATTCCTAACAAGTCACCTGAGGAGTGGCATTAATTCTGACCTTGCTGTGCTGGGATTTCTTAAGCATTTAGAAGTTGTGATCAAAGAAGAAGGCACAAAAAGGCACTGCAGGAATTATTATTATTATTATTATTTTGATAGCCATGTAACAAAGATGTATCCTAAACTTACAATGTAGTTTATTTAAGCCTAATGTGGCAGAATTGCAGCTTATTTTGGTTGGGATGCTATTCTGAAAAGTTCACACATTGCATTTGACTGCCTCTGATAACAAGCTGCCATTTGTTACACATTCTAAGGAAGATTTAATCAACACGTCTGGTTACATAAATCACAGACGTACTGAATAGTAAATGAGGTGCTTGTACAAGGAGACAAAAATCCTTTCTTCTTTCCCTGTAATTAAGACAGGTATTCACCATCTTCAGTGACACTAGCTCTTTCAGATAGAGTCTGGTCATTCAGTTATTCAGCTTTATTTGTATAGTGCCAAATCACAACTAAAGTCTCAGGACACTTTACAAAATAGCCATGTCACCATAAATCTACTCTGAGGCAAAAGCATGATGTTGCTGTGATGTTGTTGTAGTTGTACTTGTATGTATGACTGTGTGTGTAAATTATATTTGTAAATAAGCTGAAATGTTGAGGTTGAAAGAGAAGTGGGTAAAGAAAAGGAAGGGACCATGTAAGTGTATACTTCTCCCTACTCCTTTCCTAAGGTAATACTTATGGTCATTGATATTTATAGGCTTTTTTGTAAGAATTAGAGAAATATATTACTGGTCATTATAACCTTGTGTTTTTGTTTGTTTGTATTTTCTTTTCTCTCGCTTATTTATTTATTTTGCTTAGCATTTGTGTCTGGGTCGATCGGTCAGGTGTGATATTTGTTGACACTGATTGGTCAGTTTATCAGCCAGAGTCAGGTCAACAGCCATGGCGGAATCTAAAAGACAGGAGAGGAGGCTTAAGAAACGCCAAAAAGAAAAACAACAGCGATACCAGAGTATCTAAAATAAATAAATAAGAAACTCAAAAGTTACACGGAATTTTCCAGAGGTGTCAAAACGACAAAGGCAGGTGCGCTTGGTGCAGGTAACAAACAGCTAGCGCTAGCGTTAGCATGTGGGTGCTATTAGCAAAGACGATGACAAACACAAATACCAACAGTGAAGAAGACTAAATACTGGCACTACCAGGGAGGGCGGACACGGACACAGAAACGGAAACAACTCTCTGAAATACATCCACATCAGGGTTCCGGTCAGTACACAGAGGGGTAACTTCTCCAGGAGACTGAACAGGCCAAAGCGGCTGTAAGCAAAGGGGCAGGTACAGCCCTGACCTGGATAGATGGAGCCTTAACTGATGGCACTGTTGGACCAAAGTGAATCCCGAGACTTGGCAAAACACAGATGCCGACCAGTCCTCCTCAGCAACGTCGGGACATTTTTTGCTGCCAGGAAGCCGAGGACAGACACTTCTATAGGTAAGTCCATGTTTCATCTTGATGTTTGTTATTCTGGCTTTAATGCTCTAATGTTAAACTGTATATGCAGCATCTGGCCTGATCTGCTGTGTTGACAGTTTGCAGTTGAACTGTTTGTATTATTTGACAGATGTTATGCAGTGAATGTGTAGTGAATTAACTTAAAGAGCTTCTGCTGTGGTGCAGCTTGACTTAGCATTGACAGTGTGTGGAAGAAGGCATAGGCCCAAAGACCGAGCCCAGGGGCCCATGACAGAGTTAAATAGCCCCAGCACAGAGTAATGTCAGGGTGACAGCAGCAGGAAGACGTCTGAAATCAAGTAGATATACGAGTTTAAATCTCTGAATACTTTTCAAATGGAGCATCACATGGTTGAGCTACTTTCATTCACCTCCTCCAGACATGCTGCAGCTACACTGTCCTTCAGTTATTTATGACCTACAATATCAACTGCTAGATGGAGGCTATACTGTGCTAGTACCAAGTCAGTGAGCCTGCCCAGACTCTGCCTCACCTCCTTTGGGCAGTAGCCAGCTGCCTTCAGTGCTGGAGCCATGTGCACCCCATGGGGAATCTAATGTCTGTCCATTGATATTTTTAATGATCTGTAAGGGCCCTAATTATAAAGACTACACTTTAAGGAAACACAAATTACTTTTATTCTTCAGAGTTGTCGTTGTGGCCTTCTTTCACCTTTACAATGCTGAAGGCACAAATTAGGGACAGTGTCGATACTGGAAAGCATTTTAAGAATGAGAAAGAATATAGCGCTTATCTCACAGTGTGTTGCACTGGCCAAAGTGCTTTCCAGACACACACAACATTCACACACCGATGACGACAGGCTGCCACGCAACGGCGCTAGTCAAGCCACCGGGAGCAATTCGGGGTTCAGTGTCTTGCTCAGGGACACTTAGGCATGCGGGGGAGCTCAGGAGTTGAACCACCAACTTGCTGGTCAGGAGACGACTGCCCTACCTCATGAGCCACAGCCACAGCCACCCCCAAGAAGTGACCCTTAGCCACACATCCTGTCTACTGAAATATTCTTTGTGTGGCAGCTCAGGCCTATGCTGTTTGGATAAGGAGGAAAAAGCTGCTGGCCTCCCTGTTCACACAATAGTGTCTTTGAATGCATGCAACAGCTTAGACAGGGTGGGACCTGTTTTTATTGCTGAAGTTATGCAGCATTGAGTTTCATACTCACCGCCTGATTAGAAACACCAGAGTTGCACTCTATATTTAGCCACCACCTGAAAAAGTCAAAATAACTTTTGCCCTAAACAAATAACTGGATGACACATTATCGTTTGCATAAATTAAGGCACAAAGCTTTACACGTTTGCCAGACAGTAATTGACCTTACCAGAAACTGTCCTCCCAAGACAAACAACGGCATCAGTGTGCCTTAGGGGATCAGGCCAGTCATTTTCTATATTAACAGTATTTTCAACACTCTCAATACGGAGACCAGCAATGATTTGCTTCTACTCACAATTAATGCCTGTCAGTCCTGGATCAGCTTATTTGTCTGTGCCATAGACCCCCACTGATGTTCAAAAATAATTAAAAACATTAGGAAATCAAGACACTAATATTTGTTAAGAATATCCAGAGATCTCATGCTTGGGTCCTTGATTCTTACTTACTTCAAATGCTGTAAAACATTATGGCCATTCAGAACCTTTGGGGCATCATTTTTAAAAAGTATCAGGGTTGTGTGCTTCATAATGAGGAAGCATGTCACCCAGTGCAGCTGTGCGTTTCCCTGATGTGTTTTCGAACCACAGTGGAGATCTATGGCACAGACAGATAAGCTAATTCAGTTTAGACAGATTGACCGACAGGGCTGGGTATCATTCCATAGTTTTCAATACCAATACTGGTTCCTAAGTGATGCTTTTTCAATATCATTTTTAACAAAATATAATATAATACATTACACATTTTGGTCATTAGTTTTATTTTTCGATTCCTTGGCATTTTTGTGTGCTCAAAGCAGTTTCATATCATAAAAAGTAAACCTGTTTACCACAACCTTAGGTTCTGTTGACATTAGCATTAAACAGGCTTTGCACTGGATCACTGACGCTAATGAAATTTTGCGTTGACACTTTCGATACACGTTGGTATCGAAGTATTTTGATCGTAATTTGATTTCACCTTGTTTTTTTCACCTTGGTAACACAGTCTTGTCCATCATTCTCAAAAGTTTGTGTTCCTCACTGAAGTACTTTGAGTCACTTATGTACACAACAGAGCAGCACAGCTCTTCTCCTGCTCCCTCCTGTCCTTCTATCGCTCCTTGTATCTGCTCCAGCAGAGTGTGTCTAAGTATTATTGATTGATGTAGTGGTTACTGTGTGAGAGTACTGACATTTTTGCTGAGACAACAAAGTAGAAAGTGTTAACTTTGTGGTTGTCTTACCATGTTGCAAAAGCAGAGTTTCTATTCAGACTGATGATACCCCCTTAAAAAACCTGCTGCCAATGAAGTTTGATTTCATGGCTTAAAATAATAAAATAGTGTGAAAGGTAGACAAAAAAAGTATAATTTGCAAAATGTATAATGTGTAGATTGTCTCATTAGTGTGTGCTCAGCAGTCTCTGTTATTGCATCGAATCGGTAATGTCACCGCTGTCATCCTCGTTCGGTGATTTACAGTTCCAGCATTAGGAGACGTGTCAACACCAAAAACAAATGGTCCTGGACTTAATATGCTGGCATGCACAGTATAGAAGCCATATTTTCAAGGACAAAGTGTTCTGCATGCTTCAAAAAGCTGTTTTAATGTGAGAATATTTCTCAAAAAGTGAATGTCATGGAAAGGTTCAGAGTTGTAACTGAAACAGTGATAAGAACAAGGGGTGCTTTGAGAGGCAGTAAGGTTAGATGAGAGGTGTGAGGGAAGACTGCAGATCAAACTGTGGTCATTTCTAGATTTCCTTCATGTATGCATGTTGTTGATTGAGAGAGACAAACACACTCCTTGTCACGTATCCAGCTGTAGTTCCTTTGGCAGTAGCAAAGGTTGAGGAGCGTTAATGTTTCACTGACTCTCCCAGTCTCTCTGCCAAGTTCATAAAAATGCACTGTAGGGCCTCTTGGAGAGAAAAACTGCTTGTGCAAACACAACCTCTCTCTCCCTCTCTCCCTCTCTCTCTGACATTTTCGATAACTGTTCTGCAATATGTACTTATGCTGCCTCATTTTATCCTTCCCCTCTTTGCTGTGTCAACATGGCTAACAAACAGCACACATAAGCTTGATCCAATCAAAATTTTAACAAGGAGAGTGTTTTTCTAAGTGAGCCACATTTTTCCCCCTTGGAAATTAATGTCACAGCTTTCAATGTACAATAGTGAGTCAGGGGCAAACAGAGTTTCTCTCTGGCCCGAGGCTGTTCTGTCAGTCCGCTGAGCAATGGGAGACCCTCTAGGCCTGTTGCTGGGTAGACGCACATCTCCACCCCTTGCTGTGATTGGTTGATGCAGTCTTGATGGCCCCACCTTGCTGGTGTCTTGTCTGAGCACAGCTGTCTGTCACAAACAGGTGGTGGAAAGTAACCCCAACAGCTGAGTCCAAATATTTGTGATCTGTTGGCTGCTAAAGTTAGAGAACACAGGGTTAGGTCATCTTATCCAACATCTGTCAGTATACAGAGTCTACAAACTTGTATGTACCATCAGCATAGCCATCTAGACACACTGTGGCCCTGACAAAACAAACTTGACAGTGAAGGAGAGAACATTGTGCTGTTAAATAAGTTACTCATCCAAAGCCTTTCAGTATGTCTGTTTTTCTTTTGCTCTCTCATGAGTTAGAGAAAGGAGGCAGTGGGGTTGGTTGGTTAATTTGGACTTTCTACGCCTACTCTCTTCTCCATAGCCTGATATTGAGTGACATATATAAGACTGACAAAAGCACAGGTGGAACATGGACACACGAATTAAAGTTTGAAAATCGAAGTGAAATTATTATAAGCAAAATATTTTATCAAGAGTAAATTGTGCATTATGAAGAAATGGTCCATTTGTATTGGTGCTGTTGGGTTATATTATGAATAATACACTATCATTGGATACTATTGCTTAATATTGTAATTGATCATTGGGTAGTAAATACTAAGTACTTTATATACTACTGGTTAGTTTAAATTTACAACACTGCATTACATTATGTATACTGTGTACCTACATTCTGATATACTGTAGCTAAATCTAAACTACCACCTAGTGAATGTTATGAGAAGTGTTTTTCGAACCATCAGTACTCATTTCAAAAAGCCAGCCATGGAGGAGCTCAAACACCAGTGTTTGACAGCTCAAAATGTATGTTACTAATCAAAATCTGAAATGTGGATGAGGTGATTGAGGGGTCTGGGGCCAAGCTATTGCTTCCCCAACTGCTCTGATGTTCAGCACCAAAAGTACAAGGCCTCTTGAACCAGGGTGCACCCAGGTGTCAGATTGCATAATGTAATCCTTCCTCAGACTGCACCCGCTCTGTGCACGGGGCTCCTGGAGAAAGTCTGTGAAAGAGGAGATACTGTGGTTGTATGTACACGCTAGCTCTCCGATTATCAGCGTATGCCATCTGCTCCTCCATCACAAAATACACATCTCACCTCATATTCTCATTCTTTGATCCTAATCCCTCTTTCTCTATCTCCAGTCGGTTGGCATGAGAATCTCAGCAGTCTGACAAAAATGGGTTCTGCATGTTGATGTTGTCCTGAATTCAAATCTTTCAAAATCAGGGCAGTGTTGGTTCAAATGACCAATAGTTATGTTATATTGTGCGGTAAATGGATGCACCTCATCTTTTTCCGTCCATGTAAAATTCTCCCCACTATAACTAGAAATGTGATCAAATCATTTTGTAAACCAATGCTGTGTGTCTAGGAGGAAGAGGGGAGTCTTTAAAATGGGGAACTGATGGTGGTTTGTTTCCTGAACAGTTGATTGAGTAAGGCTTTGTAAGTCACTCTTTAATAAT